GGGCCAGTTAGAGGAGGGGGAGGTCAGGAATAAACCTTTCTGATGGACCAAACCCTGAGCGACCTGATTGGAACTTTCTACAAACTGTGTTCTCAGCAACCTGCCCCTGTCATTTCACCTCCTATGGCCACCCAGGAGGGGCTGATGCTGAAGGGGGCCGGCCCTGCTGGCCTCCTCCTCCTCCTGGGTTTCTTCCTTCCCCACTTCCCTTGGCAGCAGCGAGTCTAACCTGGCCCCTCTCTGCCCTCAGCCACGTGAAAGGCCTGCACTTGAACATGGCTTTCGTTTTAAGAAATTTCTACACCCTGACCCTTTTCCTGGGACCGCGTTTCCAGAAGCTTTTTGGCTACACGGAGAGGGACGTGGAGCTGATGTCCCCCGTGAAGGAGAAGATTTTATACAGCCTCATGAGGGAGAGCGGTTACATGCATATCCAGAGCACCAAGCCGGACACCGTGGGTGAGCCAGTGGGAGGCGGCCCAGTTCAGGGGCCTTCCCTGTCAGGGGCGAGGGGAGGCGGCTTATGTCCACTCCACTCAGGAAGGGGCCCACTCAGGGGAGGCCGTACCAGCCCCCAGGAACAGGGCGACGGCCTCTTTCGAGGACCTCAGAGCTCTTGGACCCCGACACGGAATTTTTCCATAGAAGTGAGTTGATGGGTGGTCATCAGATTCCCAGCAATTGCATTTGCAGATTTAATATGCCTAGTGGCTTTGACCTCTGATCCCTCCACCCGGAGGGATGGAAAGGGGTGGGGTGAGGAGGAAGACTGGGGGCTTGGTCTCTCTGGGACTGTGGGGGCAGAGGAGGGGGTGCCCCAGGGCCTGGGGGGGACCCCACAATAGCAAGGAAGAGCCCAGCAACTGTTTCTGCCACCAGGGCCCTGTCAATGGGTCACTTAAAAAAAAAAAGACAAAAACATTTAAGAAATAAAATCATACAAATATAAAATGAACACATGTCAAAGAGTTTACTTAACTCATTATTACCGTGTATTTTGCTGTGTATCACGCTCATTTTTCACCCACATTTTTGAGGGGAAAATAAGGGTGCATATTATATGTGGGTCGCGTCTGAAATACCTTGTATCTGTTCTTGTGTTTAGTAGTTATTTATTACATAAAATTGCTCGTACCGTAGTATGTTCAAAAGTAAATACCAAAATTCCTTTAAAATACAAAAAACAAGTCTCTAAATATAAATAAATAATTGAAGTGAAAAATTAAAATGAAAGATTCCCCCCCCCGAAAGTTTGGGCCAAAAACGTAGGTGCGCATTATACACAGCGAAATACGGTAATAAAGAAATCAGTAGAATGTGAAGTAGAACAGTTCAAAGGCAATGAGGAACACTGAAATTAATGGGCCAATAGCTACAAAGCATCAAATCCAGAGCAGTAATCAATTAAACCTCCATTTGCTTCTCTATAAACAAAATCGCTTGCACACCTGTTTTCGACAGTTTACAGAGCTACCAAACAGCTCTAAGACAAGGGAAGAGAGGACCCTTACAGAGCCAGGGGACCCTGGGAGGGCCCACGAGGTAACTCCCCGGACCCCACTCGGAAGGCACCCAGGAACAGCTGTGCCCAATTCATTCTCTCACAGCTTCTCGCGCAACCCTTGCTGCACACACTTCAGGCAACTCATGATAAAAAGAGCGCTTCATAACCAGCTTTTCCCTCGGATTAAAAAAGTAATCCACGCTCACTCCCCAAAAAGTGAAAGATGCAAAAAGCACAAACCAGAAGTAACGGTCACCAGCCACCTCTCATCCTGCCCCGCCTCCCTCGTCCCCAGCCTTGAAACGACCTTGCTAGCATTTTAGTTGATGCCTTTTGACAGAGAAAACCTGTCCGTATAACCAGAAACGCATGACCCACCAGCCCTGATGCTCCCCCCGCACCCTGCCTTCTGCAAAAACGGTCTCCGCGTACCCTCCAGGGCACCACCCCGCTGACTGGAGACAGACAGGAAGTGGAATTCCAGAGCAGGAACCTCTTGGAACTCAGGCTTCTTTTATCTAATATCATGTTTAGGGAACACCCACGCGGCTGTCCCGGCATTTTTCATGCCTGCCCAGCATTTTAGCTTGTGCGTGGACCGGTATTTATTTGCAACTGATCCCTAATGTTGGACTTTTGGGTTGGTTCCCATTTTTTCACTAATCATAGCATGCGAACCCCAAAACGCCACCCTTTCAAAAACAGCGCTCATCTGTGTGTCTCATTTGGATCTCCCAAAACCTGAAGCGTAAGACCCCCCGTTTGATGGAAGCTTCCCGTAGTGCATGGGCCCCCATGAGGCCGTGGGGATGCACTACCCCTTCCGTCAGACATGAGGATCCCAAGGCAAAGGTTAAGGAGGCGAGGTGCGGGAGCCCCCACAAGCGTCAGGCAGAGCTGGGCCCCCCCACAAGGGCTCCCTGACTGCAGGGCTGCTCTGTGGGGCCTGCGCCACCCCTCGATCCTCACGGCCAGCGCCCTCTCCTGGGCCTGAGCCCTTGCCACTTCTTCCACACCAGGCTGTGCCCTGAATGACTCTCCCGTGGGACTGGCGGCCTACATTCTGGAGAAGTTTTCCACCTGGACCAACACAGAGTTCCGAGACCAGGAGGACGGCGGCCTCGTGGGGTGAGACACCCCCCCCATGCACCTCTCACCCCAGCAGCACCTTCCTTACCCATCGCCCTTTCTCCATCCTCGTTGGGTGGAGGCACTGAGCCCCCAAGTTGGGGTCCAGCAGAGCAGGGCCTGGGGCCAGCAGCTGCTGCATGGACTTGGGTTTCCTCAAGGACAAAGGCAGGGAAGGCAGGAGGCTGGGGGGGGGGCACTGAGGGTCGGGATCCTTTGAGGACGCGGCAGCCGCAATTCGAGAGCATGGATTTCTAACAGACACTTCAGCAGGGCTGGAGTCCCCTCAGGGGACTAGCAGGTGGGTCCAGGTGGCACAAGGGCACGGCATAGGGAAGGGACAATGAAGGGGTGTCATGGAAACTTGAGGGTCTGGGTAAATGATGGGGTGGGGGAGGGTAGTGAGGAGAAGTGGGGGCCCAGGAGGCACAGCCAGTAGGCACCAGTGGACAGAGGGAAGCCGCGGAGGGTTCCAGGGCTCTCTGGATGCAGGGTGGGGTGGGGAGCCCAGCACCGGGACAGTGTGGGCTTTCCGGGGCCCACAGACCCCGTGCACCAACAGTGAGAGCCAAGTGACCATTTCCAGAGTGTGTCCCTGCGGCATGGGCAGGGTCCGCCTGCTCAGCAGCCCCAGGCCAGAGAAAAAAGGGGTGTCTCATGTTGAGGGGGGATCTCTGCAGGGCCCCATGGCTCCCTCCTGGGGTGACCCAAGTTTGGCAGGAGGCATGTGAGCAGGCTGGGGCGTTGATGGATAAAACCGCTCCAGGTACAGCGGGTTCTGCCCTGCTGCTCCCGGGGCCAGACTGGGGCAGGTCTAGGGGCTCTGAGGGCTGCCCAGGGCCTGGCAGGGGCTGTCCCATCTGGGATGGTCTGGGGGCGGGCTGCACGAGGACACAGGGCACCGCCTCTGAGCAGCGCGTGCAGCGTCCTGCTCACAGACCTCCTGGAGCCGGGAGTGAGCTCTCAAGGCCCCTGGGCTCAGCTGACCTCGCTCCTTCCCACCCGGGTGGAGCCCCTGAGGGTGGTGGGGGGAAGAGGTGGTGAACACCACCCAGGATGACGTTGAAAACCAGCAGAGCCTGCCTCATACATGGCCAGCCCTCTGCCTTCATCACCTGTCATCATGGTGGATGGTGACGCTGGGCCCAGCCTGCCCTGCCTGTGGCATGGAGACAATACCCCTGACCTTGCAGCGAGGTCTGAGGAAGCAAGCCAGGTGGACACGGGGCTTGGCAAATGCTCGAAGCCAGAAGTGGCAGCCCTTGTTCGCCGTACGACTGGCACTGAGACAGGCTCCTGCTCTCCCAGGAAGTTCACCCTGGACGACCTGCTGACCAACATCATGATCTACTGGACCACAGGCACCATCACCTCCTCCCAGCGCTTCTACAAGGAGAACATGGGACACAACTTCACGTCTGACAAGCACCATCGGTGAGCCTGCCTCTGGGGAGGGGCCCTCTGAGGCGGGGAGCGGGGGGACACCTAGCCTGGAGCTGAAGGGTGGACATTCAATGGCAGAAAAGCGCAGCTTGGCCTGCGGGGTGCCCTGGGTGTGCAGAGAGCTCAGGCTCGGGGCCATTCGGGGAAACCCCTCTGCCTCCAGACTCTGCTCCTGGAAGGAACCCAGGCTCCCCAGGGCCAAAATGCTGGCCCTGTGTGGCACTGAGGGTTCTGGGACCTCCCCGTCAGTCTCTCCTGAACTCATATGGAGACCCTCGGGACAGCTAGGGGAAAGGCAAACAAAGGTGGGAAGTGAGGCCATCCCATCCCTGTCTCCAGCCTGGGCAGCCATTCCAGAAAAGGGGGTTCTTACTGGGCTGGAAGTGAGGGGGGTGGGCCAGCTGACCCTCTCCCCCAGTCTCCTGAACCCCCTGCTAAGGTGGACAGGTGGCCAGGCCACCCCTACCCCTCGGCCGTATCTCTGTCCCTTCCAGGATGAAGGTCCACGTGCCCACGGGCTTTGCCGCCTTCCCTTGTGAGTTAATGCATGCCCCAGAGAAGTGGGTGAAGGTCAAGTACCGGAAACTCATCTCCTACTCCTACATGGCCCGTGGGGGCCACTTTGCTGCCTTTGAGGAGCCGGAGCTGCTTGCCCACGACATCTGCAAGTTTGTGGGGCTGGTGGAGCGGCAGTGATGCCCCTCTGCGGGGCATCGCCCCCTCACTGACGCCTGCCCTTTCTCCCAGAAGCCCGGCCTCCCAGTGCCAGTACCCTCGGAGCAGGGCTGGCAGGGAGCGGACTCCATCTCCCCTCGGTGAAGGTGCCCCTCTCCCCTGGGGACTGAGTTTGCTTCCGTCCCCCACCCACCCGGGACACCCCCACTCACCACCTCCGAGCGCTCTCCCACATACGTGTTAAGCAACATGGCTTTGATGATAAATAGTTTTACTTCGAACCACAGCTGAAACCAAGTGACATGCTTGTGCCTCGACCCCAAATGGGGTTCCCCTTCTGGTGCCCAGAGTGGCAGAGTAGAAGCCAGGGTACTAAGCAATGCCCCAGTTCCCACCCTGCCTGGCCCACCTCTGGGGATTGAGGCAGCCTCCCTGCTGGGCCCCACCGCTGGCAACTCTGGCGCCCCCTGGAGGCAATAGGAAGGCAGTGTCTCCGCCAAGTGCCCGCAGTTGTCTCAGCCCCAGGGTCCCTTGGGGAAGGAAAAGGCAAGGGACTGCCCATCCTTCCTGTAGGGTCACAGGTCAAGGGCGGTGCAGAGCCCTGCACCCGGCCTGGGGCCCCCTCCTCCTGTCCCTGCCACAGTCCTCCCTTGGCTCCAGGGGTGCCCTGAGCACTGCTCTCCCCCGTCATCCCCCCCACCCTGGAGAAAGCAGACAGATGGCGTCAAGGGCTGGAGGCGGAGCCCCACGCACTGGCCCTGAAGAGTCAGGAAAGGTTGGGTCTCACCGGTCTGGCTGAAGAGGCACTTTATGAGTCACTCGCATTGTCCCTGACTGCTGCAGGGTGGCCTGGGCCAACCACAGTGTCACTGGCAGCACGACAGGAAAACAGGGAACCGCCAAGGGGTGCAGAGGTGTGTGTGCCCCACAGGGCCTGCCCTGGCCAGCTCTGCCCCCCCACAGCTCACCCCTGGGGTGCACGGCTGAATACATCGGGTGGTGAGCGGCCGGGATGACCCTGACCACCTTCCGGACCCCATCTCAGGCCTGGGGCCGCCGCGGCTCTTTGGTCATCGGTTGGGAGGGTGATGTCTGCACGCTCAGAGGGGAGGTCTTCTACTTGCCACATTCTTCCAGTCACCTGAGAGAGCCCCACAGCCAACAAGCCGGGAGGGACGCCATTCCAATACGCGATCTTGCTAAAAATCTCCTGATGGCAGCCCTGCCCCAAACCAAGGGCCAGAGTCCTTTCCTGGCTGGTTCCATCTTTGCAGGGCAGTGGAGCTTTAAAAAAGTGGATGCGAGTTCTGAACTTGGCCAGGGTCAAGGTCAATGTCGAGCCACTTCTCTACCTGTGCCTTCTCACCTCCCGGCTCCCTGGGCCCAGCCCACCCAGCAGCTTGCCTGCCCTCAGGCCTCCTGGTAGGCAGCTGCCACGCTGTCCGCAGGGTTCTGGGCCAGGCTGTGCCGGAGGACGGTCCCGCTGATGTTGTGGACGGCTCCGTACGTCTGCTGCTGCTGTGGGGACAGGGCAGTCCTCTCTGAGGCCAAGCCGTTCAGAATCCGGGGCACGTAGGGCTGCCGGCAAACGAGAGTGTTAGCGCTTGGGTGGGGCAGGAACACAAAGCTGACGACGGACACGCACAGAAACACTGTCAACTTAGGCTGTCAGGACCCGAAGTGTGCCCACTGCAGAATCTCCTGGCAGCCAGAGCAAAACAGAAAACGCAATCACAACCAGACCGTTCCCACGATCGTGGAGAAAGAAGCACACACACCTGTCTCTCAGGAGAAACAAGTTTTCGTGACCCTGGGTCCTAAGAGAGTGCTCCTCTGATGTGGGAACAGAACACTGAACCAGTCGGCGGAGAGAGGACTTCTCTCCAGCCCCAGGCTCCCGCGGCTGACCCCAGGGACACAGCCCCGCTCTGCTCCTCCCCGGACCCAGGCTGAGAAGAAGGGGTTTCCGACATCCATCTGCCCTCCTCGCCCCACGGCTGGTGGCCCGGCCACGGGCGTGCCTCTGGGTAATGAGTCTTCCTGAGAACCTTCTCTGGGGCTGGACCAAAGACAGACACTGGTCCCAAGGGTGCCTGACACCCGGGAGGCGGCCCCGGGAGGGAGCACTGCGGACGGGAGGCTCACTACCCCCAGCCCTGGCCCTGCCAGGGGGCTCCCTTTGCCTTCCTAGGACCCTGGAGGCCACAAGCAGGGACAGCCAGGAAGGAAAGGAGACCTGGCGTGTCTCCAACGCAGCGCCCGCTCTGAAGCAGGTGTCTCGGTCATTTGTTGAATTCCAAGGGGAGTTGGTTTTGACCCCACAGAGGGCGTCACAGCTGAAACGCTTGTGAGTCAACAAACCACTGGGACTGGCAATACGGCCTCTTGAAAGGCCCAAGGTCACGAGACATCAAATATGCAGGGCAGGAAAGTGAGCAGGGAACCGAAACCGGCGGGGGGGGGGGATGGGCGAACTTTCTGGCACAACTAAGTCTGTTCTCCGTGAGCGATGTGGCTTCACCCATGCACGTTAAAGCACCCAGAGGGGCCAGGGTTCCTTCTCAAGTGACACTGATTCAGCCACCTGCCTGACACGCGACCAAGGGACCTCTCTGTTAACAGGAGACGATCAAAGCGTGTTTGCCGGGCCCGGATGCGAGGCGGGGGGGGACCATAACTTACTGTGTACGGTGGGCGCACGTGGGCCTGGGCCTCACTTCCTTTGTCGCTTGCCAACTCTTCCGTCTGCAGGTAACAGCAGAAACTTCCAATGATAAACAGAACTGATCTCCCTGAACCAACACCCTCCAAACAAGCAGACTATTAACACCCAGAATAATAGTACCAGCTGGCACCAGGCTCCCAGCGGCAGCCTGAGAGGGGATGGGGGAGCTGGGGCAGGAAGCAGGGAGCAGGGAAGGGGGTGGGGAGGGAAGGCACACATTGTACCCAGTTATCCACACCTTTCCTGTGGACAAATAAAACCTGGAGGAAAGGCAGTTGATACGGGGCTGGGTGGAGGAGGGTGGAGCACAAACCCACTCCTACCTCCCCCCAGGTCCTAGCTGGGCGGCACCAGGCGGAGGGCCCTTTACCTTGTAGTTCACAGGGCAGAGGTGCTTGAAGCACCCAAAGCAGGTGTAGCCCAGGCAGACCAGGATGGTGAGCAGCATGACCAGGAAGGTAAACAGGGTGGCGGGGGCTGTCAGACCTGGGGACCACAGGATGCCAGCCTCAGCGAGGGAGCGGGAGTGGCTGCCCTTCGCCCTCACCCTGGGGACAGAGGGGCCCACACCTGGTACAGGAACCGCGGGTGACTGCTCTCTCAGGCAGACAACAGAGATGCCCCGCCCCCACCCCCTCAAGCAACCGAGACGGTGTCTTCACAGCCAGGAGCACAGGGCCCACTGAGCAGCTGGCATGGTGTCCATTCAGATCCCAGGCACCGGGAGGCCAACTCCAGGGCTATTTGCCAGCTTCCTCGTTGGGTCAGTTCCTTGCAGCCTCCCGTGTCCTGGGCTGGGCAGGGCGGAGGCTCCCTCAGCTGACCAGGGCACAGTCGCACCTCTCTCCTGCCTTATTCTTTTTCCCAAGAGGGTCGGTTTTCCCTCCAGCAGGTCCCCATGATGCATGGGGACCTGGACCCGTCCACCACTGCCAAAGAGCCATCTGAACCAGCTGCCCCATCTCCTCAGCTTCAGCTCCTCCAAAGTCGATAAAGTGACCGCCTTCTCTCTCAGGCTGTCTGGGGCCGTCCGCCTGGGTTTTCACCAGAGTTACACTTGAGCTTGGGCTAACTTAGGTTCTCAACATTGCCCCCGGCCAGCCCTCACCCTGGATGCCACCTTCTGATTGGACAGTGAGTATCCTGGATGCCACCTTCTGATTGGACAGTGAGTTGATGCTGTTAAAGCAGTGAGGGATTTGACAGGCTGGTATGGATACAGGAGTGTGAGGCCAAGGGCTGCCCCCCTCCCCCCTCCTGGGTCGGAAGGGCCCCTCACCCAGGCGCAGGAAGGAGAAGAAGTAGAGCCAGAAGAGGCACAGGATGGGGGCAGCCAAGGCCTGGTTCACGGCCGCGAAGTGGAGCCTCTTCTCCAGCTTGGCCGGGAGGTAGGCGAAGTAGAGGTTGTGCCGGTCCACCATGTGCTTGAGCAAGATGTAGATGAGGCCTGCAGAGACCGGGCTGTCAGCTCCGTCCCCTCCCCCGGGGTGGCTATGTGTGCGTAGAACTGGGGCTGGGGCTGCTGTTCGGCCACACGAGCCAGAAGGCGGGCAAAAGGTGTAAAAGCTGCTAGTGTCCTGAATCTCCCCCTTCCTGGCCCCTTTCTGACCCCAAGGAGTGGAGGGTTCTCTGACTCCGTGCCTGGGGACCACTGGCATTCTAGCATCATCTCGGGGAAAGCGGCTCTTCCACGCTCAGAGGCCTGGTCTCCGCTTCTTCCTGGGCCCCTCGCCTACTGAGCACCCCCAACCCCTCAGGGCTCCCACTCGCCTTCCCTCTCCCCTGCACGCTGACCTCCCGCCCTCATGGCAGTCAGTGGGTGCCAAGGAGCTCAACCCAGGGCAGTACAGAAGGGGGCTGCCTTTTATGTCGGGTCCTTGAAAATGGTTGCTTTTGTTTTGTTTTCAAAGAGGAATACTGCATTTAAAAATAGTACACAGAGTGGACAGGAAACGCTAAAACTTCCTCCTAAACCTGAGCTGTCCCTGCCAGTGGTCTCTCGGGTGCTGTTTCCTTCTAGAGTCTTCCTTTTGCCAGCCAGTTCTTGACGTTTTATTTTAGATGCAAGATCTTGGCCTATAAAATCGAACAGTTCTAAGTTCGAATTCTGCCTCTAACCCTCACTGACATGTATGTATCCAGGGCGTCAGCTGTGAGAGGGGACAGAAACAAGACCTGGCTTGTAGGATTGAGCGAGAATTAGTGTGATCGTCCCCAGGGAGAGCAAGGGTGACCAGCCAGACTGACAGCACACAGGACAACCTTGATTGTTACCGCCGGTGCTGTCTCGGCGCTGTGGAAGAACCGACCGGCAAGGAACTGGTCAGCTGGCCGAGAAGCTCAGACCACGAGAGGCGCTAGGTGAGCCCATAGCTTGGAAGGCTTGAGAAGTGAAGTTAAACTGGGTGTCACCTGTGGCTCTTGTGGCTACCCGAGGTCCTCTGTTTGTGAGGCTCCACCCTGCCCTGTGACGGCTGACTTGGGATGCCACCCCCCACCCTGGACCAGCCGTAGGGCCACTCACCAAAGGGCGCAATGATGGGGCAGGTGAGGCTGTAAGCCATGATGACGGTGAACACACACAGCATCCACGCGTACATGGCTCCAAACTCAAACTCGAAGGCCTGGTTCTGGGGGAGGAGAAGGCGACAAGGCGCTTACAGGCCTGTCTCACCCCCCCCAACCCCGTCTGGTGGCTCCAGGTGGGGAGGGCGATGCTGGGTGAGAAGGACTTTGGAAATAGGAGACGCACAGCTCCCCTGGCCGCCTGGGGTCCTTTCTCTCCCTCCGCAAGCCCCCTGGAGCTTCACTCAGCTCACACCCTGAACCCCCAAGGTGCAGGGATTCATGTTTTCTTAGTGCGTCCTGTGTCGGAATCATGTCCACCTGGCAGGACCATGAGCCCCTGGGAGGCAGCGATGGTGCCCCCGAGGGCAGACTGTGGAATAATCCCATACAGATTTCGGCGTCGGACCCAACGTCAGCTCTGCCTCTTCTGGCGTGTGTCCTGGCCACATACTTAACCTCCCTACGGCTTAGTCTGCACGCCTGCCAAGTGAGGTCCCAGTGGTGCCCGGTTCCTGGGACACTCGGCCATTCAATGACAGAATGCAACAGGGCTCTGACTTCACAGCGCCCAAGGAGAAAAAAGAGAACCCAAACCACCCAACTCAGGGAATAAATCCCACATGCCCCAAATTCTGTGGACATTGGGGATAGTCTTAAAGGCTGCCTGCAGCCCTGGCTGGTGTAGTTCAGTGGATTGAGCAGGGGCCTGTAAAGCAAAGGGCAGGCCTGTTAAGCAAAGGGTGGCTGGTTCGATTCCCCATCAGGACAGATGCCTGGGCTGCAGGCCAAGTTCCCAGTAGAGAACACATGAGAGGCAACCACACGCTGATGTTTCTCTCCCTCTCTTTCTCCTTCCCTTCCCCTCTCTCTAAAAATAAATAAATAAAACTATTTTTCTTTAATAAAAAAATTTTTTAAATGCCTCCAAATTAGGAATGTTTTCTTAGCTGTGTGTGTGTGTGTGTGTGTGTGTGTGTGTGTGTGTGTGATCTCGGTCTGGTTAAAATGCAAAAATCACTCTCTCCTCCAGCCAGTAAGAGTGGAGCTTCATGAAGACGTGCCACCGTCACACAGGGTCTTCAACCCTCCGCCCCCCACAGTGGCGGCCCTGCCCGCGGGGGGAGAAGCACTTGGCTTCTCAGGCTGGGGAAAGGCCTGGGGGGGTGGAGCTCAGAGGGGCCTCGGCGCCAGCCCGCACCTGCTTGACGTTCCTGCGGTCGGCGGCAGTCTTGGCCAGGATCATGCGGAAGGTGTAGAGGATGAGTCCGGGCAGCCGCAGCAGCTCCATGCCGTTGCCAATGAAGGCGGAGGCGATGACGTAGTTCACAAAGAAGGCGCCCTGGTCGGGCAGGAAGACACACCTGGGGACCCGGGGAAGGGGCGTGAGCTGAGACCCAGGACGGCCTCGTTCCCACCAAGGGAGGGAGGGGAGCCTAGGCCGCCTGAGGCTTTGTGCTTCGTCCTCCATTCAGTACGTGCGTGTGTGGCACACACACCGAGAGAAACAGACCCTGCTCTCATGGAGTTCGCGTCCTAGCTGGGGACACAGACGAACATGGACGCCAGGTGTGAGGAAAGGGAAGCAGGTGGGCGATGCTCACTGCATTAGGCAAGGCGGTCAGAGGAGCCTTTCTGATCGGGCGATTTTGTGCAGAAAAGGTAAAGAGTGAGCTCATCTAGAAACCACGGAGAGAGCATCCCAGACAGGAAGTAACACATAACAGCTCTCGGGAGTGTGCCTGGCCTGTCCATGGGACAAAGGGCAGGAGCTGGACAGGACAGGCCAGGAGAGAAGAGCAGCCTGGCTGCGGGCAGAGGGCCACCCCTGTCACCTGTGACCAGTCCAGTGGCAGTGGTGGTGGCCGAGGTGAACATGGTAGCATTATGGATCTAGACTGTCAAGATTTACTGAGTTAGGGCATGGGAGGGAAAGAGGGGAGACAAGCAGAACTTGAAGGTTGTTGGGTTTTTGTTTTGTTTTGTTTTGTTTTGGCCAAAGCAACCAGAAAAACAATCACGGGTGGGGAAAACTGTGGGATCAGCAGACTTGGTGAAGAAGTCAGGGGTTTGGTTTTGGGCAGGTAAAGTCCAAGATGCCCAGCAGAACCCCCAGTGTGGCTGTGGTAGGCAGCCAAGTACGAAGTCCAGAGGTGCAGGCTGGGGTTAAAAATGCGAACGCCACCCACACATTCTAATTCAGGAGTACGCAGGTGGCTCAGAGCCTTGGGCCCAGCTGAGGTCACCCAGAGAAAGGGTGTGGACGATGGGCTGGGCCCCTGGACGGCGACATTAAGAGCCTGGGAGATGCACAAGAGCCCACCCAGGGGGCTGAGATGGGAGAACCAGGGGAGGGGAGCACTGAAGCCGGTGAAGACGGTGTTTCAAGGAGGAAAGCAAGAGAAATGTCCAGATGGCGCTGATACATCACGTAGTATGAGGACTGAGAGCTGACCGTTGCACCTGGCAACCTGGAAGTCACTGTCCACCCAGACAGGAGCTGCTTGGGTGTATGTGTGTCCACCTGAGGCTGCCAGCTCCTGCATCCCCGGAGTACCCAGCAAGAAGCCATTAAAAATAAGTCGCCCTCTCCTTCCAAAAAGTCACAGCCAGCCTTCCCTGTAAACAGCTCTTTGGAAAACTCTATCAGGAGCCTGAGAGCCTATTTCAGGACCTCAAGTTCAGAGCAGCGGGGGCGGAGGCTGCATCCCAGCTCAGTCTCTTAACTAACTGGGGAACCCAGGGCAAGTGCTTCCACATCTCCCGGCCTCAGTCTCCTCATCTGTAAAATGGAGATGATGCTATTTACCTCCTAAGTCACTGTAAAGGTGAAACGAGAAAAAGAATAAGGCACTCAGCAGAGTGACTTCTTAAATAATGAGTACTTAAATGTTGAGCGGACATGGTACAGGCTAAAAATACTAACAAGGACACATGTCAGAAATAGGTCTAACTGCATTCCCCTGGCAAAAACACTCCACACTCCAGACAGCCCTTCTGGTTGCAATGTTAATAATTATTCTCCACTCCTGCTCCGTGGCCCCACAGACAGCCAACAACTCCTGCTCCCCGGCGGCTCTGTTCTCGGTAAATAAGTTCCAGAGAATGAATGAGCCGGAGACTAATTGAGCCATGCCCTAAAAGATTAACCACATTTTTGCACACACAGCACAAAATGGGCCAGCTCCCACGGTGTGCGCAAAGGTTCTGCCTGGCTTCAGCCCGGCCAGGAACCTGTGGGTGTGGAGGGGAAGCCCAAGCCCTGCAGTCTCCAGGAGGAAGGAGTGTTGCGAGGCATGGACTGCCCTCCCACGATGCACCCCAAGCCCCTGTGGGACATTTACCCTTGACCGTGGCTCCAAAACAGCGTGGCTGATACTTACTCCAACCTGATAGAGGCCTCCGAGGAAGTTTTGTCAAAGAGCCAGCGGAAGAAAAAGTCCAGACTGGAAGAGAAGTGAATCCCGTGAGAATTTACTTCCAACCCTCCATGTGATCGCTACACACAGTTTTTCTTTTTTCTGCTCTAAACACAGGCCGAATCTCCAGATCGTTTATCCTTTAAAACGCCACGCACGGCAGTGTAACATACCAGGGCCAATTTTAACGGAAACTTCCTTTCTGGAGATAAACAAAGCCAGGATCAGATCCTCCCCTAAGTGGAAGGTCATGATAAAACTGGTTCTCGAGCTTTTTAAAGACAGTGTATTTGTAACGGAAGAGAGATGATGTCTCTAGGAGGACCTCGGACCCGCACAACCCAAGTGGGTGATACAGGCTCACATGGGGGCAGGGATTTGCATCCACCGCAAACCTGTTTCCACTCTCCTAGGGCACATGTGACCCTGCTTCTGAGTCAAGAGCAGGAAGTGGCGACACGTACCTGGTGAGGCCGAGGGAAGGCAGAATCAGCACCATGAAGATCAAGAATATGTAGACCTTGGTCATCATGATTCGGTTTTCCCCTGACCTGCAGGAAGTCAGAAGTGAGTGCTCACAGGGGACTCACGGGGTCCCTGGTGGCCCCAGTAGGCCACATGCCCGCTGCCCCAGGGCACGGGGGTCGGAGCGCCGCACGCACTTGGTCCAGTGAGACTCCAGCAGCGTTGAGTAGTAGACGATGGACGGGAGCAGGGCTGAGAAGGACCACAGGAGGAGGGTCGGGAAGAACTGGCTGATGACCGGGTCCTGGAAGACAAGGTCCACAACAGAGAGTGGGGGCTCAGAGGCCATGGCCAACTGGCGTGGCGGCTCAGTGAGCTCCCCAACTTGGGGTTTGGTCATCCTTGACCCCCCAGAACTAGTGCTGTGCCTGGTCCATACTCTTGGTTGAACAGACAATAATAGCACCTCACATTTGTATGGTAGAACGCTTTAGAGTGAGGCAGCGATTTCACATGTAATTGAAGTCCCCTTGTCTTGCTCACCAGATAGATAGCCTTCTCGGCTCCCTGCAGAAAACCAGAGGCCATGCCAAGGGGACATGGAACACTGAAGGCTCCCTGCCCAGCTGAGGGAGGGAGCTGGCCTGTCCCCTCAACTCCCAGGGGCACAGCCGGGACTTCCTGGGGCTTCCTGTTTGTTCCCAAACCTGTCCATGCCCATCGTACTCATCACTGTCATGACATGATCTGATGAACTTACTACTTTCCCTGATCAAATGAGCACAAAAACAAAGAGAAAAATTCTCCAAAAATTAAGTCAGATACTTTGGAAAGACTTGATAAAGGCCAATTTCTCTAAAATGCTGTTGAATTAGACAAGGATAAATAAACCAGAAAAGGCCAAGGGGCACGGAACCTCGGGTTCTGTCTTTGGAATGGCTTTGCAAGTATCTTTATTAAATCCTTGCTTTTCTGTAAGAAACCAAAACTGGAGCCCTGGCTGGTGTGGCTCAGTGGATTGAGCGCGGGCTGGGAACCGGAGGGTCACCAGCTCGATTCCCAGTCAGGGCACATGCCTGGGGTTGCAGGCCAGGTCCCCAGTGGGGGGCACGTGAGAGGCAACTGCACATTGATGTTTCTCTCCCTCTCTTTCTCCTTCCCTTCCCTTCTCTCTAAAAAATAAATGAACAAAATCTTTAAAACAAACAAACAACACCTGGAATCGCAAACAACAAAATAAGGGCACAGTTTGTATAAAACTGACAATCAGCAGATCCATCCTCAAAAGGACAGGTCTGGACCGCACACCGAGAGACTGGCAAGGAAATGAACACTCATTTAAATCTAGAGAAGACTGCCTAGCGTACACTGTGTTTTTTTAATGCTACATTGAGTCAGGTGAGAGCGCTTCAGCCACACGTTATTATCACTCCATCACCATCACCACAGCCTCGGAAGTGTAACATGGCAAACGTTTTGTCTCATTTTTAGACGAAAACCAAGGCTCAAAATTCATCAGCCCGGGAATGGCAGGCCCAGGACTGAGGACCTCAGGCCTCCAGCCCAATGCGCCTCCCTAGACTGTGAGTAACCAAATGCCAAGCAGGATTGGAGAAAAACAATATATATTCAAGGTGATATTTCACCAAAGCCAACGTCTTTGAAAGTAGATGCAATTTAGGGAATGTTTAGCTATTATCACATTGAGTCATCTAAAATTAATAAAAAACACCCGTGGCCTATCTAGAATCAATGCCTTTACAACAACAGTATTAGAAACTGAAATGCAAAAGGAACAGTGAATTCTCGGTTCTGCCACCCGGATCTAAGAAGCTCCTCTCATTCTTCCCCGCCTTCTCCCCACGGCACCCATCCCACACCTGCTGCTCAGAAACGGTTTACACTCGGCTTTTCCCACGAGCCCCCAGTGTCCGCCACCAGTCCCTCCAGTTTTCCACGGGCATGGGACATGCTGTCAGATCCAATATACTTCACCCAACTCAAATGAGGCCTACTGATGGGTATTTAGGTTAATTCCGCATATATAATTATATATTCATTACATATATGTGAATATATTAAATATAATTATATATTTATTATATGTGCTTTATAGATCATGAATACCTATGGGTGTGTATGTATGTATGTGTGTGTGTATATATATAAATGTCTAAATAACTAGAAGACATTATACTAAGTGTGGCCATGTCTGCTTAGGGTTTCAAAGCAAAGACACAATCTATGTGTCAATTATGCCTCAATTAAAATACTTATTTGATGTTTGAAGAACAGCGCAGACACGGGCTGAGTGACATGATGTCCTGGTTCGTTGTCCCCACGTCCCCTGGCCCCCGTCCCTCCCCCACCCACTGTGCCCTATTGCACCAGCCCCCCTGGGACAGGCCTTGCAGGATGGTCACTCACATTCAGTGCATGGATGGGTTTGGTGACGTTGAACTTGTCCATGGTGGAGAGGATGATGGAGGGCGTGGTCAGGAAAAACAGCACCACCGAGAGCGTAAAGTTGATGCCCAGCCACTGGGACCACCAGCGGAGGCCCTGGACGGAGAGGTTCTTCCTACAGAGCAGAGGGCCCGGGCTCTGGAGGCTGATCCTCCCGGATCAGGCCACCAGCCATGCCAAGAGACCCCCTGGCTTAGTGGGAGTCAGGAGGTCCCAGTGAGACAAGCCAAGACACCAGCCTGAGGGCTCTGGCTTAGGGCTCATTTCAACCTGGGAGTACAGATGAGTTCTCTGCACCGACCTTCAGCTACAGGAAGGTCAAATTTCAGGGCTCAGTGAGCTCAGGGTGAAAACAACTTATTCACTGCTATTGAACTGATACTATTTTAGATCTACAGGGAGAGGCAATAGTATTAGAATTATTTTCAACTTTTCTTTTTTACCCTTTTAATGTGTCCCCCAGGCTAACGAGGCAGGTGACACGAGACCTAAGGCTGCAGTGTCATTCCCTAGCCATGACACATGTGGCGACAGAGCGTTGAAATGTGGCCCTTCCAGGAAGGCGGGTGCTCACCAGCAGATGTCCTCGGGGTAAGTGGCGAAGGCAACTGTCCACTTGGAGATGCAGAGCTCTCTGCTGTAGGAGGATGGCTGCGGCTCCCCTCTGCACCCAAGGCCCTGGCACTTGCAGGCGTTGAAGTCCTTCAGGATGCTGCGGGGAAAGCAGACCTGGCTGGGGCTTGGACCCCCAGGTGCGTACGTACACACACAGGGCCAAGAAAGCCTGGGAGCCCCACGGTGCCTGAACTTTGCTTTATTGTTATTATTATTAATTACAATCAATGCTATGAAACAGATGACCTGCTCGGCACGCTAGGGGGAGGATTTTGTTGAATCCTCGCAACAACCCTGCAAGCCAACCATTGATATTCCCATTTCACAGACGAGGAAACTGAGGCTCTCCAAGGCACTCTCTGCACCCCATCTGTCTGGCTCCAGCTGCCATGCTGTCTGCACTGCCCTGTACACCGCCCCCACCAGGGGACCCCACTGCCAGGGGCTTCACCCTTCAATTCGCTCACTTAACCCCCAGACCCCGGAGTTGTCATCAGACTACGTTACATGAGGTGTGTTCGCATCCCGATCTAGGACTTCCCTCCCTAGGACTCCCACCTCCACCCTCACCAGCTGCAAGGCTCCTCATCTGTCCTCTGACTCCCATAAAGTACCCACCCCTGCTCTGCTGCTGTCTCAGAACATTCTTCCTCTTTCCGCTGGCCTCCTCCTGGCCACAGCCTCACTCACATCAGGGGACCCTCCCCTGGGTCCAGGATGCCCAAGGCGAGGTGGGCCTTTGCCCGGCCCCCCCTTTCCCGTATCCCTCTCCTGGCCCCAACCCTCTGCTGCTCCCAAGGATGGGTCACGCCGGGACCCCGGGCGTGAGTGTGCTTTATGGGCCGGACCCCAGGCAGAGACGCAACCCCCTTCCCAGGGCCAGGCTCTCCAAAGGAGTGAGTGGCGTAGAGGGTGCGGGGGTCAGCCCAGGAGGGGCCTGGGACACTCACTAGGTGGCCATGGACTTCTCCTGAAAGGTGACGAAGGCCATCCCCAGGGGCTGGTCCTGGACCCTGCACTCCTCCTCCGAGATTCTCTCCATCAGTCTGTCCTTCGTGCAGGCGTAGTAAGAGATAGCGTCCTCCTACCAGAGGGTACATCCCTGTGATGACGAGGCCCCGTGCCTGGGCAGGGGCACCCCAGCGCCCCCAGGCCTGGCCTGGGTGTGGGCCCTCACCCACTCACAGCCCTGCACTTCACAGCAGCAGAACTGGCCGCAGGGCTTGGGGTTGATGAGCGTCCGCTGGCCGGTCTTCACCTGCAGGTTTGTGTAATAGGTCAGGCTCTTCTCAGCCTTTTTTCTGCATTTGGGGAGGAAGGGCACAACCCTCAGACTCTCAGTCCCGTGGCACGAACCCCACGTCCTCCATTCAGCCACCAGCCACAGCGAGAACTCGGATAAGAAAAGGGCAGAGCCCCCATTCCTCCCTTCCCAGGGGGGGGATCCTAGGTGGTCAAGGAAGGAGGGTGGGCATCTCAGAGGGGAAGGGTCACACAGGAGCAGGCCAGCTGAACCCGTGCACGCCTACCCTTACCTCTCCTTGCACAGGTACATCAGCTTGGCCACGTTGTAGCACAGCTGGACCTCCACCACCTCGCATGTGGGATACGCATCCCTGTGTCCAGGGTGAGCCGGAGGCAGAAGACGGCATTGGAAAAGAGAACCCTCAGGCAGCCGAGACCCCCCACACCCGAGGTCAGCAGAGCGATTGTGCCCCGCATTCCCGCGTGAGCGACCTTTTCTCTTCCCCTTTTAGCGCCAGCAGAGCCAGCACAGAGCGGCAGGTCAGTGCTCTGGGGCAGGATCTCGGATCTCACCCAGGGGCCAAAGTGGAAGGCAGAGTAAGGCACTCGCCCAAGGTACCTGCCCTGTGGGACTGTGTGGTCGGTCCCACCTGGAGGGGCTCCCTCCCCTCCCGGCTCCACCCCGCTCACCGGAAGTGGCTCTCCACGGTATCCCTCGTGGCATGTCTGGGGAGCCCTGTGATGAACAGCGTCCGCCTCACCTGCCAGAGAACACACCCCAGAGAAGAAGGTCACCTCCGGAGGGGCCTGGCGCAGCCCTACACGGTGCCTTCCTCCCAGCTGCACCGAGCACATTTCCAAAGCCCTTCTACGAGCCTCCTTTGCGTGACGGGGGACTGAGAAAGCACCCAGAGAGGGGAACTGACCCAGACAGGGTCACACAGCAGGTCAGGGGAGGACCCAGACCTGAAACCAAGTAGCAGAAACTGCCTCCTCCCTCAGGCTGTGGGTTGCAACGAGGGAGGGAGCCGCTCTCAATGTGAACATCTCGGCAGCCACTCAGAATCAGTAACGACAAGCCCACAAATCTAAGGGCTAGTTGACAGAACGAGGGATAACTATCTAAACCCTCAAACGACCTGTCAGAAAAACCTTTTAAAAAGACAATGCCAAGTTTGGGTGCAAATACACAAGCCGGGTTCCACAGGGGACACCCCCCGAAGCTCACTGCTATCACACACCTGCGGAATAAGCTGGGGTGGGGGCATTCCTCTCCAGCCCCCACTGGGACCCTCCCCAGCCCCTGCCCCACCCCAGCCTCACTCACCAGGTTCTCCTCTTTGTACTTGATGGACTGGGTGTGGTGCCGCATGAAGCCCACCGTGAGGAAGAGGTAAATGACGGCGAAGACGGTGTGCAGCCAGAGCAGGTTGTTGCTGGGGGGGTGTGGGGGGAGGAACACCACCTGCCATCAGCGGGTGGCTCCCAGGCAGTGGGCTGGGACCAGGCTACGCTTACGGCACTGAGCTGAGGGCAAAGGGCTTCATCACAGAGGCTGCTCGGCCAGTGCCCTCGCAGAGAGCCTTGCCCTGACAGAGGCCCTCGGGCACCTGGGCCCCCTGCTTTCCCAGAACCCCCTCCAAACGGCGGCTGCTTGTGGTGTGTCCCTGTCTGGAGCCCAGCCACATACTCGCTGCAAAGGGGCTTTCAGACATCAGCCCGCCCCCTTCAGGTGACCTCAGGCCCACAGGGGCCCCATAATCCGCCTTCTCCTTGGCCTGGCCCACCAGCACCCTCACACCCTTCTCCGCGCTACTCACTCAGTGGGTAGGTTTGCTATCGTTGTCCTCCCAAAACTGTAAGGGTCTTTGTCTGCGGAGAAGCACAGATGCTTAGTTCCGGGTCACAGTAGGAAATGCAGGGGGGCACAAAACCAGCCTCCCCAACCGGGAGGGCCACAGACGGGGGGCCACTCAGAGGACAGTGAGGTCCACCCTGTGTTCTAGAGCTACCCCAGCCAAGGCCTCTGCTTTACCCCAAAATGCTCCCTGACCACTTCTCAACCCGTCACGGGCGTTAAGTAAAAATTTGGATTCGTCTTGCTTTGAGATTTTTGTGGCATTTCTTGAGAAACCGGAAAGATCCTAAGCTCTTCCCAAAACCCAGGTTGGTCATCAATCACTGGGTGTAAGAAATGGAACCATGGTGGCATTTGGGAAGGCAGAGTCCTCTGGTTGCTTGGAAATAATAATTCTTGGCTCTAATTTTGACCTTGGGCACCAGAAATGTTTTCTGGATCCACCGATAGTGGCCTCCTGATTCAGGTGGGGGCAAGGAAATACAGAACGCTCTTGGAAGCCTGTGATTCTATAAATTGGGGGGGGGGGGCGGTTTCCTCCTACTTAGAGCCACAAATTGGTATTAGGGGCGCCAGGGGCCCCACCCCAGGGGTGGGTTCCTCTCTGGGTCTTTAATCCGATGGGAAAGTCCAGAAAGTCACCCGAGACCCACCACACTGAGCCCCTTTGCTGAGGCCCGCTGGTCAGCCAGGGCCCAGCACCACGAGGACAGCAAGAACAGCTCACCGAGCAAGTCGCCGGAGAGGTTGACAGGCAGGATGACGCACAGGGACAAGAAGCTGACCACCACCAGCAGGAAGATGAGGTGTCTCTGGAAGGACAGGTAGTGAACGGCGTCCTCCCCACACCACTCCAGAATCTGGTCGTCACTGGGCAAGACACACGCATGGAATCCGAGTGAGTCATCGTCACAGGCCGGGCCCTCGGGTCCTGCTTTAACCCTCCTGGCCATCCTGCCAGGCCGGTTCTGATTTTATCTCTTTTTTCTGGTGCGAGTACTCAGAGGTATGGAAGAGTCTTACAATGGCATAGCTTCTAACACCGGAGCAATGACAAGCAGAACCTCAGAGCCTGACCCCTGGGCCCCACACCCCGCACCTGGGCCGAGGAACCCACGACCACTCCATCTGTGGCTCTGAAACATTAGTGCCCTCGTCTGTGTGGGGTTGAGAGGTGTAGATACGATGATCCCGAGCCCTTTCCTGTTTCCAGGAACAGAGCCACCGGCAGGAGGGCTGCTGGGACCCCCCTGCTGAAGCTCATGGCCCTCGCCTTCCTCCTCAGCCTTCAGCCAAGCTGGGAGAGAGGGTCAAGGGGCGGAGACACCGAGGCTCAGCTTATCCTGCCGCCCTGGCTCCTCCCAGTGTCCCTCCCTTGACCCCAGAGACTGGAGGCTACCTGCTCTGCCCTTTCCCACCCTCAGTGCTGTATTTTGGAGATTCTCTGTCATGTGGGGACCCAGAAAATTCAGGGTTCTGACAGCCAGACTTCCACAGAAGGGGTGTCTCCAGAGGGTCTTGTTTCCAGAAGGCTAGGAAAGCGCCCGCCCTGGGAAGAGCTCAGAAAGGCAGATCTACAGCTGTGGAGCATGGGCGTGGCAGTCCGCCAGGCCACAGTGGGATCCGGCTCTGCCACCTCCGGGAGTGGTCACAGGACTCACCTAAAGCCGGAAGGGACTGCCTGCTGACTACCCGGGGACTCAGCTGGGGTGCCGTGCTGGCACCTGGCGCACACTCAGGTGTGTGCTTGCTAAGGTTACTCCTTTTCACTCCTTATTGCAGGACAAAGCTTTGCCATTAACTACACTGTTTTCCCTTCTAAATAAACTTCCCACAGGCACATAGTTTGCTTACTACACAAATGTTGGTGAAGATAAAAACCAACAGATGAACAACGTCCACTACGGTTTGTCCTGAGACACCCTTCTGGCTTCCCTACCTTGTTGGGGAAAGGCAGTTCGGAAGGAAACTGGGAGGCCTCTCCCAATGTCATTGCAATATTGGCTGTGAGCAGCTATTAAAATTTAATGGCCACTTTAAAGAAGCCAAAAGGTACTCCCTTCTGGGGCCAGAATGGAAGAGAAAAACACGAGGAGTTGAAATGCAAACTGTGTCTGATATAGCATTAAAACAACAAAGCGAATACACAGCTGCACCCACGTGACAGCCCCACTCCATGAGAAATGAGTGTCCCCTCGGAGAGGACAGTTGGGGACACGGAACAATGAACACAGGGGAACGGAGAGGGGACCGACTTCAGTGCCAATCTGGTGAGCCTTTGTCAGTTACCACGAACGTGACGTCCAAGTTTCTGGTTTTGCCCCACAGGGTCCAGGCTGAGTGATCATGGGGCCCACAGCCCAGGGAAGGGGCGGTGGCCTGAGCCCCAGCCAGCAGGGGCCATGGGGAGTGGCTGAGCCAAGGGAGGGTTACAGGTGACTTAAAATTTCTTCCTATTGATTCTCGTCTGTATGTGCTGGACTTTTTGCAAAATGCATGTATTACTTCCAGTACCGGTGGGGTGGGGGTGCTGGAATGTGTCCTAGTGACCCCAATTTGTGGTGGGCATCTCCACCTCTCCCACCCGTCCCCTCCCCCCTTCCTAAAACGCCTTCTTCCTACTCCAGACCTACGTTCACTGGCTGCTTCCATAGAGACTCTACCTCCTGCTAGTTCCCCTGGTAAAACTGGCCCCCAAACTCTACCATTTATGCAGCATGTATTAATTCATCTCAACTAGGCAGGACCGGTGTCCTCCTCCACACCTTTTTATAGTTGGGGAAACTGAGGCCCAGAGAAAGGGACTTGCCCTAAGACCTGAAACGACCACACCCCCTGCTGTGATTTCAGTGATCACATCTCACTGTTGGGGCTGTCAGATAATGTGCGTCCAACCACACGGCTCCTTGGATTCGGTGAAATAGGCAGCAGGTGGCAGGGCACCAAACTCACACCTGGGCTCCCTCCACGGCCTTGGACGTGACTGATCAGCTCACATCACCAAGTACCTCTTTTAGGATGTCTCTCCACAGGCCCCAACTTAGGATAAAAATGAAAACTTTTCACCCAGTGAGCTGAATGTATTATCAAGCAATCATTAGGTCTCCGCTCTTCACTGGAGACATGGAAGACTCTAGAAAAGCTTCCGTTCAAGGATATCCATGTGAAATATGAAGTAGATCTAATTCCTTCCTGAAGCAAGGCATGAACTTTATTTAATTAGCTTGTGTGAGGGTCACCAGGGACACCTGTGTTCTCAGCCCCCACCTACTACTTTGAACCTGAACTGAAAAAGTGCCTATGAGACCCTATCTCAAGGTCAGGCAACCTGGCTCTTTCCTCCAGACTGACCACATACACACACACACATACACATGTGCACATGCATGCTGCTGCCCACGTGGTACTCACTGCAGCCGGAAGATCGCCGTCAGCCAGGGGCAGCATCCCTGCGGACAAAGCGATCGAAGATTAGCTTTGAGCGCGGGTGTCCTCAGGAGCAGGTATAATTGTCGTCTTTGATGTTCACAGCCATCTCATTTCCCTTGGTCTAAAAACAGCACTTTTGCCCCCAGTTCGGCAAACCCCAAACAGGACGGAGTCTGCTCACTCCCAGCCCTTCCCGAGGTGCACTCCACATCTGGAATTCCTGCAAAAGCCTCTCAGACTTGACAATCTGTGGAATTACATGGCTCCAGGGTCGAATCACAAAACTTGAAGCGACCGTCACTGCAAACTCAGGGAAGCTCTGGGGAAACTGGCGTGGGGTTCTGTTTGTTTGCAAAGGGGCGAATGGGGACATAGCACCAAGCGCCCTGTGTTCCGGTTTGGACAGGGAGGCAAGTGCCTGCAGATTGTACTGTCCACTAAACTCCCTACAGCTGGACTCTTACCCACCTTCACACGTCTTTATTTGAAGACAAATATTTGCTCATCATTCACTTGACAATTCCTAAGCATTTACTAAGGGGTGTTGGGACGGCACTGGGTGAGACAGGAGGGTTCCTGCCCACATTTGGCTCACAAACTGGCAGGCAAGTCAATAATTCACTGTCACACGTGGGGATTCCAAAGCCCTCTGTCTGAGGGTCAGTCAAGTCTCAGGATCCCGGGCCACCACCACCCAGCTGCCACATCCCCCGTGGCATTTGCCAAATCCAAGTGACCTTGTCCATGCAGAGAGCTCTGACTCCTATTGCCACTCAAGACCCAGAACACTGAGTTCGCACCCGAACAGGACACCACTGCGGCCTCCCCACTGATGGGTCACCGCTGGTCCCCCCTCGCCGCTCCCTGCCCTGCCGACCACGGTGTCCCTAAGGTACCAACCAGCTCACTCTCAAAGTCCTGTGGCCCTGCCGTGGAGGACGATGACAATCTCCGGAAACTGGACTCACTAGAAACACAAAAGGGGAAAAAAATTCAGATAATTCTTTTTTAAAAATCTTAAAAACTTGTGTCCAGTATCTTGCTGCCTCGTAGAGCTCAGGATCAAAGCTACTGGCCCTCAATGGCTGGGACCAAATGTAACTCACCCTGTGGAAACTATAAGCAAGGGCGCTGACCACTCCCAGGTGTGGAAGACATAAAACTCTATCACACGCTAGTACAACACAGGGTCCGGTCACCCCTGACCCTCAGCACCACAACTGGTTCGCCTAACGCGACTTCAGAACGTTGCCTGTTTACGAGACATTTCCCAGCCCAGCAGATAAAGCTGTCACCCTCCTCTTCAGCGGACTTTGAAAGCCCTAATTATCTAAAGGAACAAGATTTCCTGCTCAGCCTGAAGCCAGCAAGGTTCAAGGCCACAGCCAGGCCGAAGCCCCAGTAGAGAGCTGGGCATGTGGGCCTTGGTTTTCTCATCGGCACGACGACGGTCACGTGGCGGACCCCCTGGGTGTGCGGTGTGGAACAGGCAGGCGTACTCGGTGAATGTGACGTGATACCAGCATCGCGTGTGGGTGCTGCCGGGTGGGCTCCGCTCTCTCCCTCCCTCCCTCTCTCTCTCTCACACGCATTTAACTCATAGCCAAGGTGATGTTTTTTACCTGCCTGCTTCTGACACCAGGGCAATGCGCCCATAATCCCAGAATCTCCTTCTTATGATGGAAAACACCAATATTAAAAACTAAAAGTAGAAAAGAAACCAAGTGTAAGTACATTGAACGGCTTCTAATGAGAAGAGGCCACTGCTTAGCGGCGAAGCCCACCTGCCTAGAGTCGGGGGGTGGGGGGGATAGATGAGCCTTGGAGGTTATCCACACCCAAGAGCACACTGAGCTGCCCTCAGCCATGTGGCTCAAAGGCCCCCCAGCCCAGGCCTTGTGGCTTGTCCCCAAGTCACAGAGGCTGTCAGTGCTGACACTGAGCTTGCCTGGTGCCCTCCTAGTCAAGCACATTGGCATCGACAGCCCTGACCTTCCTCGGCCTCCATCTGTCCTCAGCTGCCCCCGAGCAGCCCCAGAGAGCAGCTTTACTTCGCTTCTTCCTTTTCCATAGAATTCCACTTGTGATCACAGAACCCGGGTAGCAGGGCACTCAGGCAGAGCCGGGAGCCGGGGATGCATTTTCAAAGGCAGGTGAGTCATGCTGGAGGACCAAGCGAAGGCTGCACAGCCAGGGCCCGTCCCCTCCGCCCCGACTGCGGCCGTCTGGGGCCAGGTGGTGTGGACATTTCCCATGATTCCAGGTTGTCCAGCCGCCCAGGAACCCTGGCTCTTCTGTGACCCGCCCCCATATCTTCCTGCAATGCAAATCTACCTCCACCAGCACACTCTCCTGGACAGCAGCCCTCTCTTCTCAACCTACCCAGCCCAGACGTACCCCACCCAGCCCCGGGGTCCCTGCCCAACCTCCCTCCCCGGCTTCACACCTGGGCCCCGACTCTCCCCTCCCTGAAGCCGTGGCATTGCCGCATCGGGCCTCCCTCTCACACGAACCCCTGAGCCCTCAAACCCACCACCACCCTCCTGCCCACTCTTCCCTCCCAGCTAAGACTGCTCTGTGTGACAAATGGGTTTTAGCTCCAAGACGAGGGTGATTTGACACTTAAGGAGCCCTTTTCCATAGCAACTGAGCACGCAGGGAGCCACGTCAGCCCATCAAGGACCAGCAGTGGAGCTAGACCCAAAGGCCCAGGTTTAGACCGTAATCCTTGGGACCAAACTGGAAAGGGGGGGAATCCCCCCACCCTCATCTGCTGGACTGCTTTTATGCCAGCAAACGTGTTTGATACCTGCCTCTTTCCCTTGGGAACCGGGATGCTCACGCTACTCTAACTCCCCCTCCCCCAGACCCCCACCTGGCCCCTGGCCCAAAGCCGTCCCAGGGTGCCAGCTCCCCCTTGCCCCCTTCTCACCCCACGCACTCACAGGGGTGTCAGGAGGAGACTTCGAGAGGGACCAATCATCCAATCAGCATTTGTGACCAGAAGGAGCCCTGTGGCCCCAGGAAGTTTCGCCTGGCCAGTGTGGGGCCAGTACAGGGGAGAAAAACAGCGCATTTCAAATTGTGGGAAAATTTGGGAGCAAGAGCAGACTGACAGCTCGGTCAGGATGGTCATAATCAAAGGACCTGTGTTCCTTCCACACCTTGCCTTATGTAATCTCCTCCAAACTCGCTGAAGTAAGAATCGCTAGCTCCATTCCACCACGTATAAACCCAAGGCCAACCCCACGTACCATGCCCGAGGTCACAGAGCCATAAACCCAGAGGTATCTGGCTCCTCACCTGCGTTTCCCAGAAGGCCCTGGGTGGGGGCTTAAATAAGCAAATAACTCCAGGGACAAGGAGGAGGGTGAGGGACGTGAGTCCCAGAGTCTTACCAGGAAGCAGCTGACGTCTAGGAGCAGAACAACGGGGATGCCACCGAATTTGACCCCCTGGAGCACGGTGCTGTTTTTGGCTGAGTTGTAGCAATAGGAGTCACTGGGCTGGTCCCTGACTCCCAGTCGACCGCGGACGGACACCGGCTTGGACTGCCACATCTCCAGGAATGGGGAGTCAGTCATCGTGCCTGTCACCCCTAAAAAACAGGACCAGGCAGGTGGTCAGAGCTCACTCTGCCCAAGTTTCCCCAGCTGGCACAGGGGGCCGGCAGCAAGGGGTCGGGGAGAGGCAGACACCAGAGCCGAGTCTACAGAAAATAGCTGCATTGTGGGAACAGTCCCAGGGGTCAGAGGGATGGGGCGATGGCTCCTACAAGACACAGCTGGCGGCCTCCCGGAGATGGGGGTGGGCAGGGGGAGGGAACAGAGGGGGAGAGGAAGATAGGGAAGGACAGGAGCTGCTGTGTCTGCCTGCTTAGGAGGTGCCCACAGGCCTCCAGCCTCCAGGACCACTGCTGGCAAGGAAATTCCCACGGGAGCCACTGGGCGAGCGGGCGTGCAGGCAGGGGAGAGGGCGGAGGGGGACCAATAAGGAAGAAGGGACGTCTAAGTGTGCGACAAGTGCTGATCCATGGGAGCCACCGACGGAAGAGGCCCTGCCCCCATCCCAAGATTAAGGAACTGGTCCCGGCAGAATCGAGTCTCAGACCCAGACTCCTGACTCGCAGAGGCCAGATCTGTTTCTACCACCCTATGCACCCTCTCCGTCAGCTGGCGGACAGATGTGGCAGCTCGGTGAGAGATTAAAGGCCTGGCCAGGGGTGGCCAGCGGGGAGATCTGGGAACGGAGAAGGCAGAGAGGGAGGTATCCCAAGGGAGAAAAGAGGCTGGAGTCCCAGGACCTCCACAGGGACCCCTGAGTCACCCAGCAAGCTTCCCCAGCTCCGCCCTCTGACCCCTGCGTTCCTGAAATCCCTTTGGTCTAAATGGAAAGCCTGAAATGTCCAAAGCAAACACTGCCCCAGGCAGGCTGCTGACCTCTTCTTTCCTGACCCCTGGTCCCCCTGGGGAAGCTAATGAAAAGCTCCAGTGTGTGTCTCCTGACGCCCGAGGCCCCAGAGTTAGTGCCCAGGTTCTGGCCCCTTTTCACTCTAGAGCTGGAGAGTCAGGAGAAACGCTCCAGCAGCCCCTCGTCCAGCCCCCACCTCCCCAGATCTGCTCAGACCGGATCCCCAGGGGACGTCTGCCAGGTCTGGCCTTTCACCTGCTGCCAGGACAAGGAGGAAAGACACAGAGAACCCAGCAGAAGTCTGGACTCCTGGGACTGCCGGGGGGTTGTGTGCTGGGTGGGGGGGTGGTTCCCAGTTCTGACCCCTGGGACTGCCGGGCTGGGGACAATCTCACACACACAGAAGAGCAGGCAGGGTGTAGGGCAGGTGGCAGGTCCAAGTCATGGGAGGAAGACGCAGAAACCACATCACTTTCTCGCCCCTCTAAGAGCTGGAGGGCGTGGTGCCAGAGCCATGGAGTTGGTGGCTCTGAACGGCGTCACAAAAGTGACCTCTGGGAGGAAGATGATCTCCTTTACACCCCACCCAATGGCACCACCCCAAAGGAACACCCCGTCTGGATGCCAGGAGGCCAAGGCCTGCCTCCCCCACTGTCCTCGCACTTACCAGACACCAGGGGATGGAAGGACTGTGGGTGAGTCCCCTGGAGAGGCCCTCGGTTGGCGCTGTCTTTGGCAAAAGCAGCGGCGGCCCCAGCCACCTCCCAAGCTGCCTTGGGCCCGCCGCTCATTTCCTGCCGGGCCTCCCTGACCACAGGGTCATGGGATACCAGCATTCACAGACTGCCCCGGGGGGACACGGACAACCAGGGTCATGTGGAAGCTGCCTCTTCCAGTTCAGGAGTTCTGACCTGACACCCTCTGGCACATGGCCCCCCACTCACACCCCCCACAATGTCTCTGGACTCAAACACTCACGTGGACCCTCTGGTTCCTCCCAGTGGGCACCCTCCTGCCCTGGTCTCCCCACTGACTCTCAGAACTGGTTCCGGGCACAGGCTGCTCCGCCCTCCTCCCCCAGCACCACTGGGGCTCCCGTCTCTCCTCTCTTCCCCTGTGGCTCGAGGCCTGGCTGGGTCGAGCGAGTGGCATTCCCCACAGTCCCAAGCACTGGAAGCGGTGGGACTGAGTTGAAGACCTCATATGGCGACGGTGGCTGCCGCCCAGGGCAGCGCAGACAGACAAAGAAGGCTTGAAAAGTGAAATGGTAAGAAAAAAAACATCTTCATGAAATGCTCACAGAGGCCACATTGTCCCTTGAAAGAGGTGGCAGCTGCTGTGGCGGAGCTGGGGGCGGGACAACCCTCACCTAGGCTGCTCCACTCGGAGCTTTAAGCAATCAGAGCCCTGCGGGAGGAAGGCATTGCGGTTCCTCTTCCTCCTCTAGCCCTAGTCACACCTCTAAGCCCCTTTCCTCTTGCCAAACAGGATCCCTCGGCAAGTTTCACAAAGTTTGGTAAGAATTTAGTGAGGTCAGCCAGCCAATCCGCCAGCCAGGGACAGAGCCTGTCCCCACCTGCCCCGTCCAGGTGCCCAGGTGCGAGCACAGCTGGAAGCCCGTGGTCTCTCCCAGACCCTTCAGCTCAGCTGCAGCCTGTCCCTGACCATTACACACGGCAAGTCCAGATTCTGCTGAACCAACATGGTCCCTTTACGGCCAGCCTCTCTACGTCTATCAGAATAGGCACCTCTGAGAAGACAGCTCTGCCAGGACGGTGGGGGTGGGTAGGGGGACCCAGCTGGTGGTGATCAGGAGGGAGCTGGCTCAGCAAGTGAAAAACTGATAGTTTTGGGCAGGGACCAAATGAGCAAGTACGCCCTGTGGTCACAGGAGCCCTGCTTGGCCCCACTACCTTCGCAACATCCAGTCATCTGATATTTGTTTGATACGCATTTGCAAATACCTTGCACTTATCCATGCCTTCCAGAGAGGTCTGTATCCATCGCCTCATTCCTAGCCAAGACCCTGAGCAGGAGAAGAGCCAAGATTTCCTGCAGGGCCAGGGAAGCAGCAGGTGGCTCCGTCCCCCAACTCGAAGTTCAGCCCACGTGCACCACAGAATCTAACCAAGGCCAGTGGGACGGAGGACCGGTCTCAAACTCACCCAAGAGGTCCACCACCAACGCTAACGCACTGCTCGCCGGAGCTGGCAGCGAGAACGGGCCCTTGTAGACACTGGAAGATCTCTGTCTTCCAGAAGTGCAGGCAGAACGCAGCAGGAAGTGTGCAAGCACGACTGGCACTCACAAGAAAGGTCTGTGCAAACTCAAGGAATTTTTAACATCGCCAAATCTCCTGATTTTGTTACCATGCCCCCGGGACTCCAAGCAGCCCTAGCCCTTCTGCCACGGGAGCTCACTCTGATCTTCTTGATGCAGAAAAAGGTTGCAAAGTAAAGACAGATTTCTGCTTAAAGTGCCACCAGACAGGACCCAGGAACCTGGACAACTGTTGACCTACACACACGCCAGCCCTGGGGCGACAATAATGGCACAGAGTCCGGCGTGATGAGAGGCAGTGCGCCCGGCATTTACCCGAACGGGATCTGGAGTTAGGGTCCTCGGCACCATATCGTCTAGACAAGTGGCTTAATGACTCTGTGCCTTGGCTTCCTTCTCCATAAAGTGGGGACGATAATGCTTCTCTTATGGGGCTGCTGGGAGGCCCACACCAGGGAGGATGCCTGTGAAGGACGTAGGCCAGGGCTCAGTCCTGGGAACACTCGAAAGCCAGTTTGCTTTTAAGTCATCCTCCAGCAAGTGGGGCGACAGCGGGACCCCTTCTGATGTTTTCTGTTAGAGCCCAGTGAACAGCCAAGGGAGACCTTTGTCCCAACACTAAACAAACATGAAGGTAGGTGGGGGGAAAGGTGGCCTGTGCTTCTGTTCACATTGACTTCAAGGCAGAAGCAACTTCAGGGCTCCAACAGGTGTCCGGGGAGGGGAGAAGAGAGAAAGGCAAACGGGACTGGTGCGGGGAGAAGGGAGAAAATGTCAGGGATGACCTGGAGTCCTTCCTCAGCCCCAGTGGGAGCCAGAAAGGCCCAGGATGCCTCCCACGACCCCCTGCTGTCCACCAGGCTGGACACTGGTAAGCACAACCCACTGGCTTCACCTCAAACCCTAAGGCTGCAGGGACTGGGACACAGCCGCACCATGAACTTCAGGGTAGAAGGCAGTCCCGAGGTGAGTGAGCCAAACACAGTGTGGGCTCCTGCCCTTGGGCACACTGCCTGGGACTGAAATATGGAGGCCACCCCAGGGTCTCAGGGAGCCAGCCCGTCTTTATCAGGTACTGAAACCTCCGTGGCTTTGGTCCTCACGCTCCCTGTCCCTCCCCCAAACTCTCAGCCTTCCTCCTCGGGACTCCACCAGGGCTCTAGGGAGTGGCCATTGAGGGACAGACCCTCCATGCTTTCAACCTCTCCCGCGGCAGGGGACTGGTCGCCTGAACCTCTCCCAGGTCTGCCTCGCCTATAGTTCGAGAAGAAAAAGCCGCAGGGCAGCGCGACCCGGGGCTGGGAAGTCGGTTTCCAGTCGACAAATCCCCACAGACAGGGGAGGGACTAGGGGACAGATCGGCGTAAAGGCGAAAAGTTGGCGCCAGGGAGAGAAGTCCGGAGGAGCGCCCGGGACAGTGGGAGCACCGGGCCGTGCGGCTGGGGACTGACCCTCTGCTCCCACCCACCCACCCGCCCACCCTGCTGAGTGGGGGCTGCGTCCCGAAACCTGACCCCTGACGTGGCACCCCGGCGCGGAGCCCAGGCTCCGCACGTCCGGGAAAGGCGGAGGGAGACCTTTCCCGTGCTCGGCGACCCCTTCCCACATTACCTGCGGGGTAAAGCAAGTGGCGCGACCCGAGGAAGTTGTCTGGCTCCACCGGTCCCGCGGAGCAGCGCCCGGAAAACTTGAAAGTTTCTAAGCGAAAGGCCGGCGCCTCCCGCACATGCGCAGAGCGACGGCCACTGTTGCCAAATTTGCAGCAGCCGCGGGCGCTGGCGTCCGCCCTGAGGCCTCCACCCGCGCCAGCGCCGTGCGCCCCTCTGCGGTCCTCGTCCCTGGGCCCCGCCGGCTCACTTCCAGGGCCCGAGGAGGACGTCGCCAGGGCTAATTCCCCTCATCAGCTCCCCTGCGCGTCCCCGTCCCCGCGCACCTGGGGGAGACCTAGGCCACGCACAGGAGGTCGCGGCCCGGGGGACGTGGAGGGAGAGCATCCGCAAACACTTGTGGTCGCCCCTGTTTTGCACTTTGTTTCCTCGACGGCTCCTAGGGAGCCCCGGGGAGCGGGAGGGTGCAGAGCTCTGCTGGGCTCAGCACCTCTGCTTCCGGCGGTCCACAGGCACCTGGTGCCGCTGCCAAGGGCCCTGGCTCCCCACCCTCCGGAAGGGCCCGGGGCGAGAGCCCAAGGCGTGGCCCCAGACCGAAGCCGTAGGGTACTGCCCAAGCCCGGCTTGGCTACCAGGGTACTTCGCCCGAACTGGTCTGAAGGCAGGTGTGCAGCGGACAGGGCCGCGGGACAGGGCTCAGGGAGGACCCGCGCCCTGGGAAGCCAAAGAGCTCCGCCTGCCTGCCTGGCGTGCAAAGGGCCCTACTTGGCCGGCTTGGGTTCCGCATCTGCAAAACCGAGGGGTTGCTCCGAAGCTGACTTCCAGGTCCTTCCTAGCCCTGAAAACCGGCAATCCTGCCAGCTCTTCCCACACACACGTGAAGCCTTGCAGGTTCTCGGCCCTCTCTTGCACTTCCGGGCTCTGGTCTCCTCTCGTGATAAGAAAGGTCTTCTCCTGACCTCCTGCCCACCATCCCGGCACCAGCCTGGGCGCTCTGGGAGGGTGGGCAGTCCCCTCCTGCTTCTCTGACACTTCTTTTCTGTCCCATCTGGCTTCTTCCTTCTCTCCCTTCCACAGACACCAGTCATTGCCCACCATTTGCCCTTGGCCCTCCGTCCCTGCCCCTGGCCACCTCTCCTCCCCTGCTGGTGAGGGCCCTGCACCTGACCTCCAGGAGGTTCCTGGTGTGGCCCCTGGACTCCCTCCAGGTCCCCAGACTGCCCTGCCCACGCTCTCCCCACCTGCACACCCCACCCCCACCTGCCAGGCCTCATTCCTTTCCTGCCTCAATGGCACCACCAAGGAAGAGCAAGGTTCTAACCCCAGTAATGAGAAGGATGAAGCCACTGACAAAAAGAAATGATTCTTTGATTTCAAAGGATCTTTGATTTCAGAGAGGGAAGGGGGTTCCAAATCTGATTTTTCGTGACGTTTATTTCAAAGTCAATTGATGTCCTAAATGGATCAGAATGTGGGTTCAGATTAACTTTCCCTGTTATATAGCATACAGGTGTGGAGTGCTTGTAAAAAACAGTATTTCCTCAAAGCTCCAATAAATGTATGGGAGGGTTCGTACTTGACAGAGAAGGAAATGGAGGTCTAGAGGGTAGAGCACTTATAGCCAATAAGAGCTGGGCAGACTAGCATGGAATCCAAGACCTCACACCCCGGGCCAGCCTCCTACATCCAAGTCGCAGCTTAAAAGCCCCTGTAACCTTGGCATTTGAAAATGTTACATCTCCACTTGCTCCCTTTACCTTTACCCCAAAATATAAAGGAGTGACCCACGCTACTGTAGTACTGATGAGTTTGATCAGGTTTTCTTATTTGATAGCAAGTGGCATTAAAATAAAGCCCACTCACCATGCCCAGAAAAGTCAAAATGTCGACAGCAAGGACAAAAAGATTTCTGCTTCAATTCTAAAGGGATGGACACCCCAGAATTTGAAAGCACTTCAATCTTAGCTTCCTGATTTCCTTAACTGAAACGTTCTGTTTCCTCACGATTGGCAGGCTTCTGTGTAAAATACAGAAATATAGAATAAACTGGGTTTTATGTGTTTCTTGCAAAAATGTGCTTAACATCTGAGCTGGGAGCATACAATCCATACTTGACCCAGGTGGCAGCTAGGTCTCCAGCCCAGAACTGTAATAGGACAGGGGAACAGTGACAGATTGGAGTTTCTGCTCTCAGATGACAAGATGTACACAGGTAAGTGCTTAGGACCAGAGGTAGGGAATATGAAGGGTAGAGGACACTGGGCAGGGGCTACAGAGGGACGGACCAGGGAGTCTCATTCCTGGGAAGCAAAAATTATGGGTGCGCTGACGGGTCGCAGGAGGCAAATCTGAAGCTCAGAGAGCAGAGAGCACAGAGCTTTTGCCCATCAGCAATCCCCGTCTCTCTTGGCACCTAGAACATTTCCGACACACACGAGAGCCCAGTCCCACGGCAGCCCTGCCCAGCGCCTATGGCTCCAGCTTCCTTGACACGGGCGCCCCGTCCGAGGCGCAGCTGCACTTCTGCACCCTCATGTTGGGCAGGCTGACCACCCGCAGCCGGCGTCTGCCTCCTTCCTTGACACTGACAATCATGGGCAGCGAGGTCATCTCTGAGGCAATGCACTGTCTTGGCCCCAGAAGTGGCCACTTGAAGGTCAGGGCCTCTGGGGGCTGCTGGCAGGTGCCCACACACTCGTAGGCCAGGAAGCCTGGGGGCTCCAGGACCCAGTTCTCAGCCCACTTCATGCCCTGCAGGTCAATGTACATCTCCTGGCGGCAGCAGCGGGTGCCCTCACTCACTGGCACCTCGGGGTCACAGTTGCCCTGAGCTCTGTGGGGGGCGAGGAGAGATGGAGTCAGAGGTCAGCTGGGGGAGCTGGGGTCAGGGGACGCAGGGAGGACCTTGGGGAGGCAACTGGGAGGAAGATGTATGACCCATCATCTCTCATGACATTAAAAAAGCTGGATATGTGTGATAAGGATAGATAAGTGGAAATAACCAGAATAGAAATAATGTGATATGACTCCTAAGACTCAAAGGAGAAAGTTTATACACTCATCCTTTCCCATAGCACCCTGAGAAAAGATGCCCATTTCAATTTAAGTGTAATTCATTCCCTAATCAGGTTCTCCCTTTGCCCCCTGGCACCTACCCGAACTCCCCGAGGTCCAGGGTGTGCAGCTCCAGCTGCGGCTCGCCCTGCCGGGGGCCCGATGGCCCCTGGGAGGCAAAGCGGACCAGCCTGTGGGCGCTGGAGGCCGGCTGGCCCGGGTGCTCCCTCTGCACTGACACCTGAAGCAGCAGGGGCTCCCGGGGCCGGCTCAGCTGCTGCCAGAAGTTCACGGCTTCAGTCACGTCGAAGGCTTTCCAGCCGCTCTCGCGGATGGACACCGGTCTGCGGAGACACCAGGCGGAGACAGAGGCTTGGGCTGAGGGCTGGAGACTGGGGGAATCTCTGCAGCCCATTCCCATCCCCCTCCCAGTCCCCTCAGGAGGATGCGCCAGCCCCTTCCCACCCCTCCCCCGCCTCCATGGCCCACTGTCTCCCCACACACATCCTAGCCAGGGCTTCCCCACCTGGAGTCGATGAGGAACGTGCGGTTGGAGCCATCATCCCGGACCTGCAGCCACTGGACGGTGACCCGGGCCCGGTCGCCGTGCGGAGAGAGCAGCTCATGCCTGCGGAGCGCGGCCTCGGGGACCGGCTCCTGGAAGAGGCGCAGCACCGCCTGCACCAGCTCGCTGTTGGGGGGCAGCCGCTGCTCCATGCTGAACACCAGCAGGCGTGTGGAGGCCTCGGACACCAGGAACCTGCCGGCCACCTCTGGGGACAACGGCAGGGTCAGCGGGGCCTCTCTGGGCACCAGGGGACCTCTGACGGTGGCAGGGCCCAGAGCCCGGGAACAGGATGTCCCCCATAATCCACAGGGAGAACGTGGGGCCTGGGCAACTGGTGGACCAGGAGACAAAGCACCCCAGACTGAAAAACTCCGGAGTCAGCCCCAGTCTCCTAAAAGTCCTTTGTGCTTGGAACTTGTTTACCAGCAGTCTCACCTCAGTGGGTAGGGCCAGCTTTGGGCCCCCGAGTGGAGTCTGCAGGGGACAGGTGGCTACAGGCAGAGGCGGCTACATGAGGGTGGGAGGGGAGAGTGGGTAGCGGAGACCCCGCCAATGGGAGTCTGTGGTCACTGCTGGACCTGGCTCTTTCTGAAGGACAGAGGGAGCCCTAAGTGTATTGTCATTTCCTCTCTGGTGAAATGTCCCCAAAAGAAGAGGAGCCAGAGGACTACAAATAAACAATTTTTTCAGGGCTCCTGAGCCCAGGGGTGAATGGCAGGGACACGTACTCGACCTGGTCAGAGGTGCCAACACCTGAGACCGCGGGTTGGCAGTGTGACTGGGGTGTGTGTGACCTGACTGGCCTCCTCGTCTCCCCGGGCACCCGGCCCGGCCGGGGCACCGGATGCTCGTGGGCCTGGCTCCGGACACCAAGGAGGTGAGCCCCAGCCCTAGGGAGGGGACAGGCTGCAGTGGGAGTGAGACCTGGGACGTGCCTGCACGGTGTTCTCAAACAAGACTCTCTAAAACAATGAGACCACCCCTAACCTCCTATAAAATGCCCCCAGCTCTGGGAGGTAGTCAGGGCTCAAGTTACTCTCAGTTTCAAAGAAGAGACCAGAATCAGAGATGTTTGGTGACGCGTCTGAGGTTAAACAGCAAAGATGGAAGCTGAGAACTGAGCCCGGGCGCCTGTCTCTCGGAGGCAGCTCTGTCTGCTGAGGTTCCCTGCCGACCTGTTTTGCTCCGTTCTCCCCTCCCTCCAGTTCGCTACCCCACGGATAGGTATTTCTTTCTTTCTCTTTTCTTTCTTTCTTTTTTTAAACAGAGAAAGAGCAACATAGCTTTGTCGTTCCACTTATTTATGCATCATCGATGGATTCTTGTATGTGCCCTGATCAGGGATTGAACCCCCAACCTTGGCATTTTGGGGTGACGCTCTAACCAACTGAGCTACCCAACTAGGGTCTTGGGTAACTGCTCCTGCCTTGGCTTTGCCAATGGGTTCAGCCTGGCACAGCTCCTCCTGGCCTGAGGGGTGGGGCCCTCAGTGCAAATGGAGACCAGCCATCCGCATGGGTTCATGGTCCCTGCTCACTGCACTGTGGACCCTGGGCCCCCCAGATGGGCCCATCCAGTCTTGCCCCCTACCGTCCTCCCCCCAAGGCCCAGAGTGCAGCAGGGAGGGAGGCCTCACCTCGGAAGTTCTGGCTGAACCTCTTCCCCCGGGATCGGGCCCCATGGCTGCGCCTCAGCAGGGCCACGTACTGGGCCCTCACGTGGGCAGGGGTGACCGGCTCCTCTGCGTCACTCTCGTCCAGGACGGGCACCTCGCTGAGGTGCAGCTGCTGCAGCAGGCTGCTCAGGATGTGCTCCTCGGTCACGGCCGCCCCAGGGCCCGTCAGGGGCAGCGCCCAGAGCGCCCAGCAGAGCCACAGGGACCTCATGGTGCCACCCAGGAGGAGGAGCAGAGCAGCGTGTCCCCCGAGGAGGGTCTGGGAGGGTCCCAGGTGGGTGTGCTGAGAGCCAGGCCGGGCCAGCTTTATAGCAGCCCTGGGCTGGGCCTGGGTGGTGAGGGGGGGAAGGTCACACCCTCTTCTCCTGGGAGCTCCGCAGCCAGACAGGTCCCCAGCCTGCGGAGGGGCTGTCTGGGAAGGGCACAAAGGCTGTCTGTGCCTGGGCTTGGGTGCCTGACCAAACAAATTAAAAAGCTTCTTTCCTGACAGAGGAGCAGGGATCCCCTTCTGTCCTGCATGCCCGTGCCCCAGTGACAGCGGACTGGACTCCCTGTGTGTAGCCCTTGGGTCCTGCCCCTTGCTGCAATTTAAACTGCCCACTCATCCCAGTCAGGGCACATGCCTGGGTTGCAGGCCATATTCCCAGTATGGGGTGTGCTAGAGGCAACCATACATTGATGTTTCACTCCCTCCCTTTCTCCCTCCCTTCCCCATCTCTCTAAAATAAATAAATAAAATCTTAAAAAATTAAAAAATAAATAAACTGCCCACTCGACACCAGGGCCCTCTGAGGACCAGCCCGCCTGCTGGTGCTCAGAGGGCTCCTGGGCAGCTGAGGTCCTGGGCCGCCCCCAGTCAGGAAACCCAGTGCTTTCCATCGTGAGGGGGGCAGGAGCGCAGGGCAGGGGAAGGGGACATCTAAAGGGTCCCGGGAACATTTAGCACCAGTGGGGCTCTGTCCGATAAGGATTTACATTATGAATTTGATTTAGAGTTTAGAGTTGAAAGGATCATCCAGTCCACCCCCTTCTCCAATTTTTGAGCCAAGAAAACCGAGGCTCAGAGAAGCAACAACTCCCCCAAGATCACAGTTCACGATGGATCCCTGCACAAAGTCAAGGCCTTCAGATTCCCAGCCCAAAGTTCTGTCCACATTCTTTCCATCCAGAGCCCTGCCCAACCCCCTGAAGCTGGCCTAGTGCTCCCAGTCCAGGTGGGGGGCAGGGGCACACCCCCCAGTTCCCTGAGGCTTCCGCTCCCCTGGCCTGGATGTGGATTTGAGGCTGGTTGAAGAATTGCCCTGGGAAATAAGACAGCTGGACAGTCAGCTGGGGGGGGGGGGGGGGGGGGGCTGAGAAATAAAACACAGGCCACCATTTGGGAAACCCTTCTAAGAACAAATTCTTCACTGTTTATCTGAAGTTCTAATTTCCCTGGAAGTCCTATATTTCTATTTACTGAATCTGGCAACCCTAGCCAGGGGCGGGAAGCAGAACCGAATGTGGATTGGGAGACCTTTTACAATGGGCTGATTAGTGTTCCAGCGCAGGCCCCACGCTTTGTCATGCACAAGAAGGAGCCGGCTTCCCCGATTTCCACCCCCGCCCTGCGTCTGGCCCAGCTGCACTGGGTCTGGGCGGCTGGAGGTGGTGAATTGGCCCGCAGTCTGATCTCCGATCCTGACAAAGAAAAGGGAGGAAGAACCAGGGGGTCCCCCTAACTGAGGGACTATTGGGACCCTGAGCCCAGAGCTGGGGGGACCATGGAGGGCAGTGGGCCGGCCAGCCCGGGGTGAGGGCACCAACCTGGCACCCAGCTGGTGTCCGAGAGAGGGGTGATGGGGGTGAGGCAAGAGGGCAGGTGTGGAGTGGCCACATGTCCACTCTCACCTTCCTGCCCTTAACAGGCTGAAATTTGACCCCAGCCAGAGTCTGGGCTGCCAGGTGAGGGCCACGAGGAAACGTGGAGGTTAAAGGTCATCCTGCAGCCGCCACGGGCTGGGGACAAATAAGATCAGAGCCTGGGTTCAGAACCAAAGAAACCTATGAGTTGCCAAAGGCTGGAGCCCAGCACCTGGGGCTCTCCAGGGTGACATGCCCCCTTCACAGCCAGGGGCAGACACTCCTATGGGTGCTCCAGAGACGCCCCAAGGCCCAGCCCCGGGAGCCCTGGGCTGCCCCAACCCCGAACCCACCAGCCTCTCACATGGCTCCTTGGAGTCTCCAGCCGCGGCCTTGGGAGAGCCTCCCCGATCTCCCAGAGCAGCCTGGCCTCGCACCCTCACATCCAGTCCGGCCCTTGCCTGGGGTTCCCTCGAGCCGACGAGCCAACGAGCCAACGAGGGTACGGGACAGGGACCCGTGTCTCCTGCGAGTCCTGGGCTCGGTCCTTGCTGTGTCACTCTAGCTGTGTGGCCTCGTGAGACTTTTCGACCATGTGCAACATGAGACCCCTCCTATGAAATGGGGAAAATGTGCTTTTTTGCAGGGAACTTGTCAGGATTAATGGACATATCAGCAGAGGCCTGACACATAGTAGGTGCTCAATAAATAAGAGCCTTGCATATTGTGAGCCATTGTTAAAAATGTAAGTTAACAATGTTTCTTCATTATGTTTATAATTAGTACAAAAGTCAACGGCACAAAAGGGTGTAAATACCTGAGAAGACGTCACTGCCCCGCTCACCGCCCCCGAAGTCTGCGCTTCACGGAGAAATGGGGAGATGTTTCCCGCCCGCCGATCTTACTGCTCTGGCAGCACCATCTACTCCATCTTCCAAATCGTCCTTTTAATTTAAAGTTCGGTCTTTTTTAAACCCTGTTTTACTGGTGACGCTATTACGGTTGTCTTGATCATTCCCCCTTTGCCCCCCTAAAGCCTGGTTTTCGATGACACTGATGGGTGAGGCTGTGCTCAGACCAGATGGAGGCCCACTGGCAACATGTGTAAGAACGAACACTACCCAACCCCGCAGCCCCCACACCCACTTGTACACACAGAAACCGGTCCCTCCGCCCCAATGTCCATCCGCTCCTGATCCTGTCTCGCTTTCTCTTCCGTCAATTAAGCACATATTTACTGATGAGGAGGAAACAAAGAGGCCACTGATCCAAAAGGAACCTCAAGGGCACTGTGGGCGCCCCTGGGAAATGGGGGCACTATGCAGAGCTGAGTTCGGAGCCCAGGGCGCCCTCCCGCCCTGTTCAGGTGGTGCCACAGTGGCCTTCCTCCTCTCCCCTTCCACCTCCACCCTCAGAGGAAGACACTGTGGACCTTTGACAAAGGAGGCCCAGAGCAGGTCAGACCCTAGCCCAAGGTCATGGGTTGATAGGAGGGGGGCAGACCCAGCCAGTGACCTTGGGCAAGTTCATCACCTGCTTGTGCCTTATCTTCCGAGGTGGCGTGTTAATCACATGCTCAGGAGCTCAATGTCAGGGTAGACACAGTTCCGGCACAGAGTAAACACCCAGTCAACATCCCCCCCTCACCGGATGCCAAGGCCACTTTCCTGGCCCTCCTCAGACCCTGGGAGATAGAAAACGCCTGTCCCCTACCTCCGGAGCCCGGGGAGCCCCAGGGGAGGGCTGGCTCTGCTGATGCCAGAGGCCAGGCTGCTCTGGGAGAGCAGGGAGCAGGGAGAAAGGGCCGGCCCGGGAGTGTATCTGGAGACTCCAAGGAACCACATGGACCCCAGGCCATGTGGGACTGGGCCTTGAGGCGTCTCTGGAGCACCCCAGAAGCGTCTGCCCCTGGCTGTAGAGGGGCCGTGTGCCACTCTGAAGACCCCCTGACACTGGGCCCTCACCCAGAAGTGAACCTGCTCTCGGGCTCCAGCTATCATCCACCTGAGGCCCCTTTCATTCTGGGCCCAGGCCCTGTTTCAGCTGGTCCCCACCAATGGAGTCTGGGAGGTCAGGTGACCTCTGACCTCAAGTTTCCCTGTGGCCCGCACCCGGCAGCCAAGACTCTGGTTGGGGTCCAATCCGTGCTGATGAGGCAGGATTTGCACCAGTCTGACCCAGCCCCCGTGACACACCTCCCCTCAATGTCCTCAACTCCAGGCCCAAGGCTGGGCCCTTGTAGGGTGGCATTGACCTTCATCTCCTCCCCACTTGGTTACCCCCCCCCCCCCCCCCAAGGACAGCAGTTCTGGCTTCTGGATGACTTCTCTACCTCCGACCTTCAGGCCTAGTCCAGCCTTGCAGAAGGCCGGTCTCTGCCCCAGATCCACAGTCCGGAAAGCTGGCTCCTTGCTCCACATGACAAAGGGCAGGGCTGCCCTCCCCCCACACACCCCACCCCACGAGCTAGTCAGTGCAGTAAAAGCCCCAATCCACATTCCCCTTCTCCTGGTTGATTCTCACTTATTTTGTTTGCCCAGCAAAACTCCTGCACCCAGAGGAACAAATCCACATCCAGGAAAGGGGCCCCTGTTTGCAGAGGGATAACGGTCTGGGGGTCTGCCTCTGTCAATGGCCTTCCTGACGTTAGTGAGGTCTGCCCTCCCTCGGACCCCAGGCCACGGCCTGTGCAAACAGCCTGAGGTCCCAGGAGGAACCTGTTCCTAGTTCCTCCTCAAGGAGCCTGTCCTGTCTCATGGCTTTTTGTGCCCTTCACTCACAGGTGACTCTGGGCTGCCCACTCCACTGGGCGCCAGGACCATGGGCCCAACTGCCTCTCCACCCCTACCTGTTCCCACCACAGTCAGTGGCACACCCGGCCAGGCCTCCACCCTCAGGGGGTCATTCTCGATTCCTATCCCACGTGGGGGTCTCCCGTGGTGAGGGGGGCAGCACCAGGGACCTCAGCCTTGGGACAGCAGGTTCCTGCTGAAACCAGCCCCAGAGAGGACCTGGCGGGCCCTGATGAAAGGTTGGGGACAGGGCAGGGCCTGAGGACAGGGTCAGCCCAAGAGAACTCTGGGGTAGGAGCCCAGAGCCCTGGATTTGTCCTGGCTTAGTCACCAGCTCGTAACAACGACACCTTTGCACACTGGGCTTGAGGGACAGAGGTCCTATGATTTGAAAACTAAGCGTCTGTCCCCCTCCTTTTAAACACACACACACACACACACACACACACACATTCATTACCTCACAGGTTCTGTGTGTCAGGATACAGGCCCAGCTTAGCCAGGTCATCTGTGTGGGTCTCACAGGTGTCAAGCTGGGGTCCCATCTGGAGGCTGGACTGGGGAAGGAGCCACCCCT